CTGAAAATATGGATGCAAAGATTATTTCTGATCTATCTGCAATGGAAAATTAAATATTGGTTCAGTAATTCCTTGTGTAATGAAACTTTTAATTCCTACATAATTAAAAATTTTACTCTAGTTTATTAAAATAATTTTTGTGCCCCCTCATCTTAATAATCACATATGTTTTAGTATGGTTAAAACTTTTGATTTGTTACATTCAATTGAAAAATTAAAACAAATAGTGAAGAGCTTACTGGAAAAAGTTTAGGATGGTCCCAATTATTAAACCATTTACAATTCAACAAGGAAATTTTCTATATACAAAATTATACAAAATATTAACAGAGCATAAAATTACTTAGAACCTGATGATTATTGGAATTTGAATATATGATAAAATTTAATTTAATCATGAGTTATGTTCTTATTTCTGATAAATATTTTTTAAAAGCAACAATTCATTTTAATTTTTTGAGAAGATCTAGATTAATTTTGATAAAATTTAATAAAAAGTCATTAAAAATATTAAATATTTCAAGAATGGAATCAAAATAATCAACATTAACAAAGAAAATTAGATTTGCAATTCATTTTACANTATGATATTAAAAATTTTACCAGTTAATATAAATGCAAACATTTTTACCCCATTTTTGGCTCTGCTGTGGACACTAAGAAGCCCTTTTTTCATACTCGTCATGTGTTCAACCAGGCCCATACTGGGGTGAATGGTTAATGAGGGATGGGGCCCAACATATCTGGATCAGACCCATGATTTTTCATAACCTGGGTGCAATCCTGAGTCCCCAAAGCAATAGGCTAATGCCTTAATCATCTCAGCCATCCCAGCCTAATCTTTAAAATCTTTGTTTTCAAAACTCTTCTCTATTGCCAAACAAAATTCTTGATTAGTACATATTAAAAATTAAAATAAAATGTTTGAAGAATTGTTTTGTAATTTTTTTGCCTTTACAACATATAAATCACAACAAACTTTCCTATCTTTACTTATATATAATACAGAAATTAAGATATCATCAAATATATAAAGTATACAAAAATAATTTTTTAAAATTAAAGTAACACCTTTCTAATTTGTTAAAACTACAAAAAAATTTGAATTACATTTCTTTAATATACACAATACAAAATTTAATAAAAAGTCATTAAAAATATTAAATATTTCAAGAATGGAATCAAAATAATCAACATTAACAAAGAAAATTAGATTTGCAATTCATTTTACACAATTATATTTTATCTCATAATACATTTAATTTGGCAATAGAGAAGGATTTAACTGTACTTTAATGTGATTAAAAATTTTATCTGTTGATGGTAAATGCATCAAAACACTAATATACCATTTACATAAACTGCAATATTTACAGTTATAAGTAAAGGTAACAGATTAACTTTATTTCAATATTAATATTTAACATTATACTATTATTATTATCTTTAAATTTTGTAAATTAGGAAGAATACACCAGAAAAAAGCATGCAACATAAGGATTAAATAATATAAACCAGTGGTTCCCAATTAGTTTTTCCTATGTACCACTTCAAGAAAGAGCTAAAACTCGCATACCTCTTATAGCAGAAATCCATATTAATCCATACTGATATTATAAATTTGAAGGCAATTCTGTCTGTTACCTTTTCACGTCTAAACCGCTAAACAGATTTTAATAAAATTTGGCACAGAGATAGCTTACATACAAAAACTCACTACTCACCACACCTCAGACGTTTTCGAGCCCAGAAGGGGTTCNTATTGAGAATAATTTAGTTTCTGTTAATCAAAAGATTAAACAAATAAAACTGAATATATAGATAAGATGTAATAGTGATGATAATTTTGTTAAGATGCAGTGATGTATGGATAAATATTTGTTTGATTAACAAACAATGGCAACATAGACGATTAAATGTCTAACAGTAAAAGTGAATTTGTGTAAATATCAAAACATTTAAGATTATTGTATTTATTCAAATATAAGGCAATTTCTGTTTAGAATAGGCTAAATCTAAAAACAATTTTAGATATAATAAAAACCTGTGGATAAGGATTTTAATAGATGATTATAATTTACATATATTTTCTTGTAAATTTATATTTCAAAACTATTTTTCTTACAAAATTTTTTAAAATTATAATTGTAAAATATTTGTTCAGTAAAGCTTATTATTTTTAATGTCTTTTATTGGAATAAAAAGGATATTTCCTTCCAATTAACAATGTAAAAAGGTTTGATGTTTAATTTATATCAGTAATTAGAATCATTAACTTTTAAATAGCTGATTAAACTTCTAAGGTAGTCTAATCATAATATATCTAAATGAAACAATCTTGATGTTTCAAATTTTAGGATTTTAAAGATTTCAGAAAGTTTAATCAACATTAAAAAGTTTATATTATGATACTGCTAACTCATAAAATATATTTTTCTAAATCATATGATTTATATATATTTTTATAAATGCTATTTCAAATTATTATATAATTTAATTCATCTTTTGATAACTTCTTTTATATCATGTCTTAATTTTATAAATTTGATTAAAAATAATTAATAAAACTATCTTCAATAACTAATCATTAAGTAATTTTGAAAGTATATGTAATAAAATCTTACAGGTTAGTTTTGCAATTGTATAGTTTAACATAAATATTAATTGGGCTCTTCAATCCTTTAACTATTCAAATAAAAAAAAAAGTCATTGCAATTATAATGAGACCATTATCTAAACTACTTATTACATTCTAATTATCCAGGTCTCTAAGCATAAACAGTTTGTACACAACATGAAATGTCACATTACTATATAAAAAAATTAATCACGATTAACATTATATATATTAAAAATTTATTATTCAAATTTTATTTCCTACTAATTTAGTATAAAAGAAATATCTCAAAATCATTTTAATGAAGCTAGTATGTACAGTAGAACCTTGATTATCTCAGGTAATGTGGAGTGTTTATGTCTTGGATAATTGAAAACTCTGATAAAACATAAGGCTATAACCTTTTTGGATTAAAAATTACAAATATAAAAGATTTATAATGGATATCTCTTTTAAGCCTCTTTTTATACCTTAATGAATTTAATCATATATAAGAACAATTTTTACATCATTTATTATACAGATTATTGTATGTACTGTACAGTACTGTACCTGTACATACAATAGTTTTGAATAAAAAAAAGCAGTATTATTGTAGATAGATTTTAATCACTCAGCAGTGACCAATGGATATCCATCAATCCATCAAGGGCAATCGTATGGCACTGGTGAACAACGGATATATTGCCAAAAACTACTGCAAAAAAAATTCACATAAAAAAGGAATTATGTAACAATAAAAAAAAGACTTTTCTTTACTAGATATAACTGTTTACAAAATCTTTTTCCGAAACGGTAATGAGAAAAAAACACATGGGAAAATACTTAAAAAATTTCCCACATTTATTCTCCACTACATAGGGATAGCACCATACCTTACTAACCCACTGCTGAAAGGTTAATATGAATGGTTTGTTTCATATTGAAATTAAGAAACAAATAAGTTTGTAATACAAGTTATGTTTTAAACTTTCTTTTATGAATTACAGTATAAGAAAAGTAGCATATTTTCTTGCAGGTTTGCTTTGGATAACCTTGGTTAATTGAGGCTCAGATAATTGGGGTTTTACTGTACTTTTTAATTTTTAAAGAACTTTATATTTTCTATTATAACAACCATGCCACACAGCTTAAATTAAAAGTTGTATGGCACAAATACAAATAAATAGTTTTGAGGTTAAATTATAAACAAGACAAATATCTAAATACAGTAGAGTCTCGAAAACTTGGCCTAATGTGGACTGAAGGGTGGCCGAGTTTGAGAAAATGCTGGGTTATTAGGAATGGGGTTAAAAAAAATAAGTACGAGTGTTTCCTCAGAAAATACTGTACTGTACTTGTATGTATTGTTTACTTGAGAATACAACAGAGAATAAACTGCCCAAATACCCTTAAACAAACGAAAAGTACGTCCTTTATGAAGGCATAGAGCCTTTACTACATAAAAATGAAAATTAATGAATACACTGTGTACAGTAATTTACCTGATAAGACAGACCTCAGAAAAATACTTTATGAGGCCTAAAGCTGTCTACAATGAAAATTAATTAACTAAAGATTTTTTTTGCCCTGCCAGGGTGTGGCCGAGTTATCCGGACTGCCGAGTTTTCGAGACTCTACTGTATCTACATAATAAACGGCAGAGATATGATAATCTTCAACCTTCTTTAATTCCAAACTTGTCTTTGTGTAATTAGCCTGCAGTGCTCAAATGAGAATATGTAAAACTAACATTTATACCTAACATAAATCTGAAATAATTACTAATTGTTGTAAAAAGTAGTTTTGAAATATAAATGTATTTAATTTATAGCAATTTTACTTATAATTAATATTTCTATTAAATAGAACTAAACTGTGCATCTTTATTGTAATCTTCATAACCAAAGCTTGGAGTTTAAAGGCAGTGAATGTCTTTTAAAGCACTGATTTTAGGAAAAATTACCTCATAATTGAGTAAATACAATATATTTTGTTATGTATTTTTCTCCTCATAGTTTTCTTGTTTTGGATAATAACAAATATATACAAATCTCATAGATTTGTTTCATTTTAACAAGTTTTCTTTTGTTCTTTTTTTAATAAAATAAATAAAAAGCAAACTTAATTTAAATAAATTAAATTTGTCATAAAATTTTATGAAATTATTATTATTAAATTTCAGCTATTGCAATTAAATTAAAAACGTATATGTTTAGAGTCAAGAAATAATTGTTTCATAGGTAGAACTCAATAATAATTCTTCAGGAAAATAGAATAAAACCATTCTTCTACTGCAAAAGAAATAAAAGTGTGAAATTCTTAAAAAGCAATAATATTAAATATAAAAAAATTAAAATAAAATTTGGATTATAAGTTTTAACATTAAAATCTTTTTCTTGTCTTTTAAATTAAGTTTTAAAAATATTTTGTGAGTTTTAGTTTGTAAAAATATAAATTATAAATGTTCTAATAAATAATTTTTTATGAAAAATTTATTATTATGATGTTTTTTTACTCTGAACATCAGGAAAAACAAACATCTGATCACTTTTAGGAGAAGAAACATCAAGGGGTGTTGTTGTTGAAGAATGTTCATTAGTTTTGCTATTTTCTTTTGTTTGCGATACATGGAGTGATAAAGTTCGTAACAATGGTTTTTTCTTTCTTTTCAATGACATAACTGGGAAAAATTTAGCCATGGCATTCATTGCCTGTTTGAATTCTGATACTGGAGGAGCTGAGGATGGCAGAGAATTAGATTCCTGAGATAAAGATTTCTTTAAAACTTTTAAATGTGGTAAACTACATTTTCTATGAACAACTTTTTCTTCTTTAACAACAGACGAATACGGGACTTCAAAACTTATACTCAAATCATCTAAATCTGCATTATTTTCAGTTATTCTCAAAGATGTGATATCTAATTTTGTATTTCTTGTTTCTGAATCATATCCTTTAGATGAAAATTTATGAGGAAGGCACCCTGTAGTAATATTTCCGGATGTTCTTGAATTTTGTTCAAGTAGCGACTTTCGAACATCACTAACTGGCTGATTATTATCACTTATGTGCTGGCCTTCATTATTGGAAAATGTCCCGCTACTTTTTGAAGATGGAGTTCTTCCACAACATGCATCAGAATCACTTACCTCAACACATTCATTACTGAATGTCACTCCTTTAGTTGTGGTAAGACAAGCTTCTGTTTGAACACTTGCATCATTTTGAACAATTGATGTACTAGAACTCCTATTTTGTTTTGTAGTTAATTTACTGCACTNATTTTTTATGAAAAATTTATTATTATGATGTTTTTTTACTCTGAACATCAGGAAAAACAAACATCTGATCACTTTTAGGAGAAGAAACATCAAGGGGTGTTGTTGTTGAAGAATGTTCATTAGTTTTGCTATTTTCTTTTGTTTGCGATACATGGAGTGATAAAGTTCGTAACAATGGTTTTTTCTTTCTTTTCAATGACATAACTGGGAAAAATTTAGCCATGGCATTCATTGCCTGTTTGAATTCTGATACTGGAGGAGCTGAGGATGGCAGAGAATTAGATTCCTGAGATAAAGATTTCTTTAAAACTTTTAAATGTGGTAAACTACATTTTCTATGAACAACTTTTTCTTCTTTAACAACAGACGAATACGGGACTTCAAAACTTATACTCAAATCATCTAAATCTGCATTATTTTCAGTTATTCTCAAAGATGTGATATCTAATTTTGTATTTCTTGTTTCTGAATCATATCCTTTAGATGAAAATTTATGAGGAAGGCACCCTGTAGTAATATTTCCGGATGTTCTTGAATTTTGTTCAAGTAGCGACTTTCGAACATCACTAACTGGCTGATTATTATCACTTATGTGCTGGCCTTCATTATTGGAAAATGTCCCGCTACTTTTTGAAGATGGAGTTCTTCCACAACATGCATCAGAATCACTTACCTCAACACATTCATTACTGAATGTCACTCCTTTAGTTGTGGTAAGACAAGCTTCTGTTTGAACACTTGCATCATTTTGAACAATTGATGTACTAGAACTCCTATTTTGTTTTGTAGTTAATTTACTGCACTGCATTTGCTAAAATGAAATATTAAAAAAAAAAATGTTATTTTTACTTATCATTTACAGTCGACCCCCCTATAACACTGTTGATAATTCCGTTTTATATGAATTCCATGTTGTATGAGTCACTTAGATTTTACAAATACGTGTGCTGGGCTGTGACCGGCTCAAGTATTTGTAAAATCAATAGATTTTACAAATACTTGATTTTACAAATACAAATAATTTATTGATTTTATAAATAGTGGCTCAAGTATTTGTAAAATTTAAGTGACTCATACAACATGGAATTCATATAAAACAGAATTATCAACAGTGTTATAGGGGAGGGTCGACTGTATTACTTATATATATCATTTAATTACTAAACAAAATTTATTTTTAAGTAAGTATATCCTGAAAATATTCAAAAATAAATCTGTTTTTAAAATATTATAAATTAAATTATCAATTTTTTTATTTGTACATAGAAAAATATCTATTGCTTTCATTTTGTTTATCATTATATGTAATAAATTACATTTAAATTAACTAAATATATTTTCACAAAATTTAATAGTATAAAAGTTTTTATCATAAAATAAAAAACTTTTTTTTCTATTTTACATAATTAGATTATCAATTTCCATTTTAATATTTATTTTACATGTCATTCTTTGTAAATAAGTGATATTGATTTTGATACTATATATCATTTTCTTCTAGATTTATATTATGTTACTACATTAAAAAATTTATTAATTTTAAATACAGTAATACCTTGAATTACGCAAACCCGGAGTTACGTGATTTTCAAATCTCGTCGATTTGTCTTTTGTTTGAGCGTCACGCAGCTCTTGATTACTCACTCCCCCCATACTATTGTTCAGCTTACATGTTCGGACATGTCACGCAGAATCGACACATAGCTACAATTTATTTTGCGTTATTTATTTCTGTGTTTGTTATATCTATGGAGACTTGAGAGACTCTATGTGGTGATTTCTTGTAACCGTGAACGAATCAAAAGACGAGATAAGATTAACGAGAACATTTATTAGCTTACATACATCCTACTTAGATTTTACACAAATTGCAAAATTATACCCAGACTTATGCGAATTCGACTTACACGGTTATTGCTCGATCCCACCTATCGCGTAAGTTCGGGGTATTACTGTACACAATGAAATTCAGTATTAAAGGGGCTGTCCATAAATTATGTCCACATTTTTCTTGAAATTTGGACATCTAATATATATAAATATAAAAATTAGAACAAACAATAAACGTCTTCACATTATGTCCCCGGATGATTGTGCCATCACCTTGGAATTTTTTTAACATGTTTTGCATATTGAGATGGATGAGTAGCCTCTGATAAAAGATCAATTTCACCAAAAAGACAGTTGAATTTTTGGAATGTGTAAAAAGAATGTAATGTGAAGATGTTTATTGTTTCTTCTAATTTTTATATTTTTATGCATGAAATATTTTTGCTTGTAAGAATTACATTTCAAGACTGAATTCTTGTATAAAATTTATGATAGGTGATGGCTAGTCTCTTTTTATTTTAAGCAATGTGATTTATTTATGCAAAATGATTGATTAATTCTACTTTATCTCATTTCATTTTTGACTCTTTTCGATCTGTGAGTACCAAGAGCCCTTTTTAATCATATTCATCATTGGTTTGACTGGGCTCAAAATGGGGGTGGCCAAAAGGTGAGGAATGGAATCAGACATATCTGGGCAAGGTGGCCCATGATTGATTCCTAGAAAATTGCTCACCCAGATTCAATCCTGGATCCCCAAAGCATTAACTCAGTGGTTTTCAACCAGGATACTGTGGCTCATTAGGATTCTTCAACAACAGTACAGAAGTGTTGCAAAACATGCCATAACACTTCATATGTTTATATTGCATAGTGGATAACTGATCATGTATGAAAAAATATTCAAAATGATCATGTATGAAAATTTTCTCTGTTGTGTGTCGTGCCATGTTGAATTTTTGTTGATGTTAAGCCTAACAAAACTTACACATTTTTGAAAAAATAATCATATCGTCCAAAATTATTTTTTTATTTTGTACAAACAAAATAGATATATTAATAAAAGTAAAAGCAAAAAAAATTATATTTTGGAAGTTAGTTTTAATATAAAATTTATAACGACTAGCAACATCTAGTTTCAAAAACATTCTGATGCTGAAACGAGATATCGCGGATCCACAGGTCAAGGTCATTAATTAATTAATTAATTAATTAAGTTGTGACCTGAGATACGTCGAGAATACCAGGGAGTAGAGTAATTCCATCAAATATAAAAAACAGGAGTTATGAGTTCATCCCACCTGAGGACTACTTCAGTTATGTGAAAAACAACGTAAACACAGTCCAAATTTATTGCTAGCCAGAAAAAGGATTCAGACAGACAGTAAAATCTACATGTAAATGTAATCACAAAGAAGCCATCAAGATGCCCATCAGATTCTTTCAGAAAATATCAAACTATGTTGGCAATATTATAAAGAGAAGAGCTTCACTTTTTATCGTGAATAAATCATAAAAATTAGAAAAATTTGTTCAAAATTTGTTACAGAGAAATAACTTATCCTTCAGTTTATATATTAATTTATGAAGATGACGATTTATTAAGGAACCCATCTTACAAAATTATCTTATTCTTAAAAATTAAACTTTAGAATATGTTCTGTCCAATTTATGATTTTGTAAACAATCCAAATTCAAAAAAAATTAGGTTTTATTTCTGTTTATTAATTACAATAGAGCATCAATTATCTGAAACAATTTGGGACTGGGGTTGTTTGGATAACTGATCATGTATGAAAAAATATATTAACCTATCCCATGTTGAAATTTTTCTCTGTTGCATGCTGCTTTGCATTGAATTTTCATCAATGTTAAGCCTAACGAAAATTTAAAAAAAATAATAATCGTGGCTATTGTATTGTTAAAAATTATTTATTTATTTTGCACAAACAAAATAAATATATTGAAAAATATAAAAACAAAAAAATATTATATTTCAGAAGTTAATCTAGTATCAAAATCATTCCAATTCAGCATGACACATGTCCCAACACCTGAGTTCCTGAGGATTGTCCTCAGGAAAACACCACACAAAACAAGCAAAACTCTTTCTTTTTCTTGGGTTTATCTGGAGATGTCAGCCGCTTGGGCTATATTCTCTGACGAGCTGAAGCAAAACACACCGTGATTGGGGAAAAAAGCTTCATTCAAATACTGGCATGTCCTTAAGTACCCTCTCAATGTGTGTTGTGCTGAATCGGAATGTTTTTGATACTAGATTAACTTCTGAAATATGATTTTTTTTTGTTTTTATATTTTTCAATATATTTCTTTTGTTTGTGCAAAATAAAGAAATAATTTTTAATGATACAATATGGTCGTGCTAGTTCTGCCAGCTAAAACACGCACACCAACTAAAATAATATTGGAGTAACCCAGACATAGCCAAATATTCCAGCACCACAGCACTAGAGGAAATTTGAATTTGCCAACTGGATCGCTTTCGGTTAACCAATGTTTTGGTTGATCAGTATTCAGATAATCGATGCTCTACTGTACTTCTAAGGTAAAAATAAAATGAAAACAATAAATATAACCTTAATATAGTAAAATACCATCACATATGGAAAAAACTTAAAAACTATTTTTAGAAGATAAATCCTATATTGAAGGAATAAAATTACTAAAAGTAATCTAGAAAATCAAGAAAAACCAATGTTTACATTATATTTTTAGCACAAGATAAAATGCCAAATTTGTTAAACAAGTTTTTTGAGTTGAATATATGCTATGGGATTAGTGATACAGTATTAAAATTTTTACTAATGTTTATTTCAAGTTTTTGATACTAGATGGCAGAAGTGCATGTCAGTTCTTTTGTTAAGCAATTAATAACATGGGCTGTGTTCAGCAGACTCAACAGTTCTGGAGCTGTTGAGTATTTTTCTGCTGAACACCCTCTACAGTAGTGCTCTTTTAAAGCATGTTTGGATGTCACATTTGGTAGCGTCTTTCATTTATGCTACCTATTGCTACCTGAAACTGACCAATGAGGCTTTTTGTTCCAATGCAACATCACTTATTGTTCAGCAGATCCAGGTTGCTACATAACAGCTACCAATTTGCTCAGTTACAACTGTTAAGTCTGCTGAACGCAGCCATTAATTATTCATTTAGCATTTATTAAAAACATCACCATTGTATAGTAAAAGTGAGAAAAATGTGAATATATATAAGGAAGAGCATGTTAATTTTTGGAGCTGAGAAAATGTCACAGACATGAAACATTGAAAAGTTAATACACAAGATACAGTAAAGGCACTAATAACTGTCACATGAAGAAAATTATTCTATTTCTACTAATAACAAATATTTATTCTGAAACAAAAACAATTTCAAGTGCAATTGTTAAACAAACTTTTTGTACTTAAAATTATTTTTAAAAAAATATGTAGTAATTAAACTTTTATTCTTGAATCCATGTCCTTACACTACTATTTGACAGCCTAAAACAAAAATCCAGCAACAAGTTGCTTAACTTCCCATCAACATTTAAAACTGCATGTAGCACCATCTGTTATGATATTTTAAAAACTTTTTATATTTTTAATTATTATAGAATGGTCAAAAACTTAATTTTGAGGGTAGGGATGAATTTTGTAAAAAAAATCCAAAATGCTAATAATGAATAAAATGTTCATTAATTAAGTCTGACACCATTTGACACACAGTTTTTATCCAAAGAGTGAGGGGGTTAGGGAGATAACTACAAAAATTTAATAGCGTAGATTCCCTAATACACAAACCTACCTGCAAAATTTCAAAAATTTTTGACAAAAATCACGCAAATTATTAAGCTTCAAAGTGAGTGAACAAAATTGTGCTCCCCACACATACAGAAATCCATACAATTTTATTGCATTTCTCGATGTTTCAAGATCTGAGTCCAAAAATGTAAAAATCTTGGGGGGATAACTTTTTTGCCTGATTGCAATACTTTCCCTCTGTTACATATAACAGAGCTGAAAAAGTAAAAATGAATGGCAAAGATAATTAAAAAAAATAAGAGTAATATGTACAGCACCTGATACATTTAACTGTACTTGTCTGTAATAATAATAATTTATTTGTAAATCTACATAATAGGTAAATTATTATGATAAAAACATCAGCAGAATGATAAAAAATTATTTGAAAGTTTATGTTTATATATATTGAAAGTTTACCTTAGCTGCTTCTCGTCGATGGAATTCTATTTTAGCCATTTCTGTAGCTACCCATTGTGGTACATCAGGAATAGCATATGCAATTCCAAATTTAAGAAACAGAATTACATGCTATAAAAGAATTATAAAATGAGACATTTTATACAGAATCATATATTGAATAAAGGTTTAAACAAATAATAAAATAAAAACATTACTTCAAGCACTATTATAAGTAAAATTGTTCCACTTGAAGACAAACTTGGGAACATTCTCTGGATCTGACCAGACATTCCTATAAGTGCACAGTTCACAATAACAGCAATTACACCCATAAATTCCATGGCATCCTAGATATTTTAATAAATTTTCTAATTACAAATTAAATATATTTATGTAAGTTACACTCAGTCCCAGACTTATGACAGTTGTAACTAACATATTTAAAAACTATTTTGAGTCCAAACACTCTTTTTCACTCATTAATGGCATAACAATTAAATGTAGTTAAATATAATATTGTAATGAACATTAAACATGCTTTATATATTAATAACTAGTAGGTTTATTCATATTTAATTATAACTTGAAATGGCATCATTAGTGCTCAAAAAAACAAAACCAAAACTAACTTTCTGCAAAACTACTTGTTTTGGGAATATCATTCTAATTTCAACTTTATATGATTAAAGTAAATTAATAATAAATAAGTAAAATTAATTTCACATGAAAACTGCGATACTCTCTAGTATGAATTTTGGTATCTGAAGTTGATTATCTTTGCATGTTTTCATGAATCTCTGTTAATAAAATAGTATATATAATTAATTAAAAGATTAAACACCAGTTTGAATTGCAATACATCTAAGAAGCATCACTGTTACTGTATATATGAACACAACTAATTAAAATGTGTAACATATGCAATATTATATACAAAACCTTAGAAAACATACCCTATTATTACCATTCTTTCTATGTTCAACTTAAGACAGGAGTCCCAGAATGGGAGTTCCATTCCAGGATACCTCATCATAAGTCAGGGACTATCTGCATTTGGAGTATAAGTTACATAATTAATAAGCACCTGCCATGTTCCTATGTTCTCCACACGTTGGCCAAATGGACGTTGAAATATCATGCATAGTTTAAAGGCATCACTTCTAATTTCAATAATGTTATTCATAAGAGCACACATTCCAGCCATTGGAAAAGCAGAAGAGAAGAGAATAACATAGCCAAATTGTATAAACATTTCTAAATAATCTTCGAAAGTACCTTCATACTAGAAATATTTTTATTTTATTAATACTACTATTAAAAGAAGGATATGTTTTTAATATTGTAAATACAAAACTACCTACTTTATACATGGCACTTTCAATTTCTGCTTGTGTCAGCTGCCTTTCTTCTTTATCACTAGAATTATATACTCCATTTTGTTGCTGTTGATCTGTACTTGTTTCTCCATTAGGAGAACAGATAGTATCTACTCTTAAATGTGCTAACTTAACTGATTCTGTAAGGAAGGGTATCACTGATTCTTTTATATTTCCGACTACTTGCCGAGTGATTAATAATGCTGCCAATTGCTGTAATAAATATATCATATATATATTAAAGTTTAAATTATTAGACAAATTTTCTCTTTAACATGAAAATTACCTCTTTCAATTTTTCCATATCTTGCAGATAAAATGCAATATAGAAGAGAGACAAGAAAGAATTTACAAACTGGAACTGCAAAAATACATAATATTTATTGTATCACTATAAATTCTGTTTCACAATTATAGAAAAAGATCATTTAAAGTACAAAAGTAACATCATTAGACAAAATGCATCACAACAATAAAATTAAAATATTAAAAGCAGGTAAGCAAGCATATTTGGAAGACAATATGATCAAAGAATTGCTTTTCTATCACCCCAGAGATTCAGCAACAAGACATTACTACTTCCTTCAAAATATGTTTAACTTACCTCTTGGAAGAATCAATACATCATGCATTAAACAATAAAAGCTTCCTTCAAATCCAAATAAACAAATTGAAAATATACAACTATTTATTTTATCATGCTTTTTTCACAGTTTTTTTAATAACCAGATAATACATTGATATCAAACATATGCAGTTAAGAATATCTTTTTTAACTTACAACTTACTCATGCCATATTCAAAAACATGCATGGGAAGCAGCAATGTCAGTCATTATTTTTTCTACTAAACTCACGGGTTTAGTGGAAAGAAAAATAATTATACTAACCAATAATACTTTGATAATGAGATGATTTTCATATTCTTCTTCCAGTCTATAGTTCTCTGGAGAGATAGAAGAGAAAAAGAAAGAAATAGAGAGAAAAATATGTTCAAGCTGCTTGATTGGCATGAGAAAATATCAAAAAAATAAAAAGAATAAGATATAAACAGCAATACCCTTTTGATATAATTTGCCATAATTTGTGCCATAATGCAAACATCATGCTCAATTTTTATAGGAAGCAAAATTATTATAAACAAAAATGATTATGAATAACTAAATTGTTCTTAGTATTTATTATTTTAATCTGCTTCCTATAATGAACATGAATCATTTTTTTACTTATAAACTGAATATTTAATGTGTTCTTATAGATATGAAAAATCACAATATTCTAAATGAAAGTGGCATGCTAGCATTTTTTAAATTTTCCAGATAAAAAGAAGTTATTGAAAATATCCATTCTAAAATTTTACATTAAGAAAAGAAATTATGTAGTAATATAATCACAAAATTTGAATTTCTATGTATCACTGGTACCAACCATAACTAATTTGATAATCAGATGATTCTGGTAAGTTTCTTCTAATCTATAATTTTCTGTAAGACAAGCAAGATTAGTTATCATTAATAAATTTAAAACTTGATAGTATATCTGAAGAATTCAGTAAAAACTTTGTGTTCAAAGTTTATAAAAAAATAGCAATGTGATTAGTATTGAATAAAACAGGATAGTAAAATATAGAAATTAATTTTATTATTAACTTCATTGTTAAAATTTTACAGAATCAAATATATTTTATATTAAAATATAGTATTAGTAAACAGCAAGAATATAAAAAGTTCTCTTTCAGTTATATATGATTATTATTATTGTTATTATTTAAGAATAATTGCAATAGTAAAAAGAAAGTATTGTATCTTTCAATATAACAAAGGTAAATTCATTAGCATACACACCTAATAAATCCCCTGGTTTATTTATAACTTAGAATTTATCAAATTTAATAAGGAGTTAATATAAACTTGTCATTTTATTTCTATCAAATCTACATGAAAAATTTATGTTTAAACTTGATTTGTGGAATCAATCTATCATGTAAAAGTTCTGTTTACAATAAAATTGTATAAACAAAGACACATTTATATGGGAAGTTTATGAATACTTATCTGAATATTTCCCTTATAAATGTTAGTCCTGATTTACATGATTCTGTGTTATATGAAACTTTCTCAGATTCAATCTATCATGTAAATTGAGGGTTAGTTATAAATGATATATACCAATTTAGATTAAAAAATCTGCAATGAAAATAACAAATTACTTACTTTTCAACAAGTAGTTTACATGCTACTTTTTAACTTACACATACATATAATTTTCTTAATAAATAATAAAGTAAAAATTATAATCATAAATTTATTTGAAAAAATTTGATCCTTTGAATCTTTTAATTTCAACATATACAATAACAATCTTCCTTAATTATGGAGTACAATATGTATATTATTTAACCCTCTTAATTCCTGATAAAAAGCAAACATTGACTGAATAATAAATTGAAAACTACAGAATGATCTGATTTTATACAAGGGTTATATGTCATAGGTATCACATAAAATAAAATTCTGTGTAAATTTGTGCTGCACCCCAAGTAGACACTTCACTTATGCAATCATTTACAATTAACATAAAATGTTAAATAAAAATTTTTAAACACATTGTTTTTACTATAAAAAATAACATTTCAAAGTCTAATGTTTCTGAATATACAAAGCAAAATTTTATTTTACTGTATCAAGTATGCTATTGGAAAAAAATGCATGCATACCAAAGTATTTACCACAAAAAGTAACATTCAGTAATTCTCTGTGTTTGGAATGCCAGAAGCTGAGAAGTTACAGTTATAACAACTTAAGAGTCAGATTTGGTGGGAGTATAAGCAGGTTAACCTAACCTTTTGCCATTCACAAAACCAATAAATCTGCATATATTGGGTTTCTAACCAAGTGATCATGGCATGTTTTAAGGAGATCTTCACATTTAACTGCATTACATGTCTCTAAAAACATTATTGTATGTAATTCCAATAGGGAATAATGCAAAATAAAAAAAACTGATATTATTTGTGCTTTAAATTGCAACATAGGGATATTAGCAACTTATAATAGCGTTGACAGCAAATTTAAAAAATATGGGGAATGTAACATATCTTGCACATTGTTAAACATTTGGAGAAATATTCTGACATGATTCAATGGTCCATCCATGGTCTGCGACAGACCCCAATCCTCACCACCCAGTAACCTCATTCTGGACCTGGAAAAATCCAAAATAGACATGGAAAAAGGCTCTCTTAGTGTCCACAGTATGGAAATAATCAGGAAAAAACATCTTAACATAGAAGAAAGTTCAACTCAAATCTTGACAATATTTGGTGCAAATCATACAGATTAGAGATGAAAATAATTAAAATTCAAAATTATTTATATCTGAAATCCAAAGATTGTATTTGAAAACACACAAAGGAGAAAAACCCAATACTGACAAATGTGGTACAAAAGCTAATGTCTTGTTTTGACCCTGCATATTTAGCTGAATCTGCATTTTCAAATATGAATATTTTAAAATCAGAAATTCTTTAAGTAATGAAAACAGTGATCAATGCTTAAGATTATCTCTTTCGTTATATAATTCTGACTTTGAAAATATTGTTAAATCTAGGCAGTGTCAGATATTTCATTAACATTAACATTACTTTTACTTATATTAGTATTTATTGTGTTTATAATTTTTTTCTCTATAATATAATCATATTATAAATTACTTTATAATTTTTTGTTCTTAGTGGAATGTTTAATAAACATTATATATAAGATTCTTTTTATTTTTTCTGCATATTGATGGCATATATCAATCTTGTCTAAAACAAAATTCTATTGCAGAGATTCTGTAAATCTTTAATTCAATTTTGGATGAAGAAATAAGTTGAAAATTATTATTCAGATCAGAAGAAAAATTTAAAATCAAGTAAATATTAAATAGAAATTCTAATATTTATTCAAATTTATTTTTATTAGTTTAAATCTGAAGTTTAAAAATTAAAATTCAAACAAAGAAATACTTTTATTCAAAGTATAAATTATGGAATAAAGAATTCTCAAACATTTTCAAGATCTTTGTTACTTTTTTAATTCAATAACATTAAGATTCAATTTTAAAATTTAAAAGTTTTAAAAATATATTTATATTACTAAAATGATAAAAAAAAATGATAAAATTATACAACAAAATCGTTTATTAATTTAAAATGTTCCTAGAATTTATTTTCCATCTTTAGTAGTTTCAGTTAATTTAAGATTTAAAAAAAAATATAGAAGTTATATAAATGATTATTTTCACAATATCTCCAAGCACTTTTTCATTCACCATCAAAAGATAAAAATAAAAAATTTTCAAACAAAATTATAAAAAATAACTAAAGTAATTGTGCAAAAACAAGAATACCTAACAACGATATTGGTTTGAGATAGAAAATTTATCAAAAAATATTTGTTCTGCTTTCAATATGAAAATCAATCTAAATAAAACTAAAAATGTACCAGTAATGATTAATATTAACAAGCTTACAATATTCCAAAAAATTTTTCATTGCATATTCAAGTGAAAATGAAGATAGTAATATGAAACAGTAACTATTACTAATTAACTAACAAATATTAAAATAGTTAATAATAAATCTATAATTAAAATTCATTTCATTTTTAAAACATGAAATTTTTAAAAATAAATAATTTGTTGATATAATTATTTTAATTAAGCATCAGTTAAATCTATTTTTAATAAGTATAAAAACAGAGTTTGGTTTTAATTTTTAATAAGCACAAAATAAAATAAAATTCATAAAAATTAATAGAAAAAGCCCTTCAATCTAAGAAAAGATTATGAGAAGTTTCTTAGAATCCTGATTTTTTAGAATAAATACATATTTTATGTATTTATCATGATGATTCATCTAAACTGGTTATTATAATGTTATAATAAAAGGTAAAATATTGGGATTTGTAAATTTGTTATTTCAATTAAATAAACTGTAAATAATTTAAAGTGAAATTTCTACAAAACTAAAACTGAAACTCTTATTTGTTAGTTTACTTGTTATAAAACATTTTTCTAGAGATACTACAAAATAAAGCAATTTTTTCATTTTATTTCTTCTATAAGCATAAAAAAGATTAATGTAATAAACAAATACAAATTTAGAATAATTCATATTCGCAAATGTTTGAAACTGATTATTAATGATGCAATGTTTTGTTTTTAAAATAAATTTTTAACTTTATAAGTATTTTGTTAAAGTCAGCACAACAAAAAAATTGATATGAGTCAGCCTGAGATGGAAGGGTCTATGTCAGATGAAGGGAATAAAAGAAGACACGGATCTGATCTGTTTCGGCTATTTTATTTTGTTTTACATTTCTAGAACATTTTAATACCATATTTATCATAAATAACTTTATCGTTTTATTTATTTATTTATTTTTTTTACAAATTTTATTACTTACTCTTAATTCTAACATTACTCACTCATTAACCATGTCTCCTTCCATCCCTTTCATCTGACAGACCCTTCCAGTTCAGGATGACTAATGTCTACTCTTTTGCTGCACTGACTACAGTTACATATAATTATTCTTTTTATTATATTAATTGTATTGTAACTATATTTTTCACACATATAATGAATAAGTTCATTTTAAATCATTTTTATTAAACCCATAAAACATATTATTACTAATTCCTTAAAATATTAAGTTATATTATTTAATGAATATGATATTTTATAAAATTAAAATTCATACTAACCTTTATTATTTAGCCAGAGTGCAATACGATGATAAACACCATCTAACACATTGATGACTAAACCCAATAAAACTTTTGGTAGAAATGTCATCCAAAATGGATATTCCAGTGCTTTAACTTTGGAATCCCACCAGGTCTACAATAAATATTACATTATATAAATAAAATCATATATATATATGTGTNTCTCAAACATTTTCAAGATCTTTGTTACTTTTTTAATTCAATAACATTAAGATTCAATTTTAAAATTTAAAAGTTTTAAAAATATATTTATATTACTAAAATGATAAAAAAAAATGATAAAATTATACAACAAAATCGTTTATTAATTTAAAATGTTCCTAGAATTTATTTTCCATCTTTAGTAGTTTCAGTTAATTTAAGATTTAAAAAAAAATATAGAAGTTATATAAATGATTATTTTCACAATATCTCCAAGCACTTTTTCATTCACCATCAAAAGATAAAAATAAAAAATTTTCAAACAAAATTATAAAAAATAACTAAAGTAATTGTGCAAAAACAAGAACACCTAACAACGATATTGGTTTGAGATAGAAAATTTATCAAAAAATATTTGTTCTGCTTTCAATATGAAAATCAATCTAAATAAAACTAAAAATGTACCAGTAATGATTAATATTAACAAGCTTACAATATTCCAAAAAATTTTTCATTGCATATTCAAGTGAAAATGAAGATAGTAATATGAAACATTAACTATTACTAATTAACTAACAAATATTAAAATAGTTAATAATAAATCTATAATTAAAATTCATTTCATTTTTAAAACATGAAATTTTTAAAAATAAATAATTTGTTGATATAATTATTTTAATTAAGCATCAGTTAAATCTATTTTTAATAAGTATAAAAACAGAGTTTGGTTTTAATTTTTAATAAGCACAAAATAAAATAAAATTCATAAAAATTAATAGAAAAAGCCCTTCAATCTAAGAAAAGATTATGAGAAGTTTCTTAGAATCCTGATTTTTTAGAATAAATACATATTTTATGTATTTATCATGATGATTCATCTAAACTGGTTATTATAATGTTATAATAAAAGGTAAAATATTGGGATTTGTAAATTTGTTATTTCAATTAAATAAACTGTAAATAATTTAAAGTGAAATTTCTACAAAACTAAAACTGAAACTCTTATTTGTTAGTTTACTTGTTATAAAACATTTTTCTAGAGATACTACAAAATAAAGCAATTTTTTCATTTTATTTCTTCTATAAGCATAAAAAAGATTAATGTAATAAACAAATACAAATTTAGAATAATTCATATTCGCAAATGTTTGAAACTGATTATTAATGATGCAATGTTTTGTTTTTAAAATAAATTTTTTACTTTATAAGTATTTTGTTAAAGTCAGCACAACAAAAAAATTGATATGAGTCAGCCTGAGATGGAAGGGTCTATGTCAGATGAAGGGAATAAAAGAAGACACGGATCTGATCTGTTTCGGCTATTTTATTTTGTTTTACATTTCTAGAACATTTTAATACCATATTTATCATAAATAACTTTATCGTTTTATTTATTTATTTATTTTTTTTACAAATTTTATTACTTACTCTTAATTCTAACATTACTCACTCATTAACCATGTCTCCTTCCATCCCTTTCATCTGACAGACCCTTCCAGTTCAGGATGACTAATGTCTACTCTTTTGCTGCACTGACTACAGTTACATATAATTATTCTTTTTATTATATTAATTGTATTGTAACTATATTTTTCACACATATAATGAATAAGTTCATTTTAAATCATTTTTATTAAACCCATAAAACATATTATTACTAATTCCTTAAAATATTAAGTTATATTATTTAATGAATATGATATTTTATAAAATTAAAATTCATACTAACCTTTATTATTTAGCCAGAGTGCAATACGATGATAAACACCATCTAACACATTGATGACTAAACCCAATAAAACTTTTGGTAGAAATGTCATCCAAAATGGATATTCCAGTGCTTTAACTTTGGAATCCCACCAGGTCTACAATAAATATTACATTATATAAATAAAATCATATATATATGTGTATATATAAATGTGTGTGGTGTGTGTGTGTGTGTGTGTGTGTGATATATAAGATGCTCCTAAAACTCATTTTTTCAAATTTGTAAAAGAATTTTGGAAACACTTCTACAAAAAATGCAAATTCAGGAATAGAAATATGATTTAATTTAAATTGATAGTAGAATACTGAATTCAATAATGATTATTCTGAATGTCTTTTAGCCAAATTTTGAATGTTATAATTAAATAAATATTTAATCATCACAAGACAATAAATTTAAATTACAAAGTTTAATAGTGAGGACAATTATGCATAAAAATATTACTTCAATTAATAAATATTTGAAAACAGAAAAAATATATCTATTTTATATTATTCAAAGCAAATAAAAACCATAATAGCCATTGTATTAGCTTTTTAAGATTTATCATTAAATTGTTTAAAAATTGTAAAAACAACACTCTACTATCTCACTTTTCATGTCAGCTGTATATTTATCTCAATCATCATATTTTCTTCTTTTAAATTTTCATTCAACATACACTGATCTTTTAGGTTATTCAAATACCTAACATTTTCTTTCATACATCATCATTTGTTTAATTAAAACACTTCTGGTACAGGTAACATGGCAAATAAAAATTGATAAGAAATGATCTTGAGCATCTCCCTATGTATAAATTTTCTCGATATCTTTCAATTTTTTGGTAAATTAGTTGGAGTTTCTAAGTTTATTCCTTTCTTGTTTAATGTATTATTAAGCTATCTACATATTGGTCTTCCTTTCCTTCTCTTTCCTTTTATCCTTGCATTCAAGATTGCTTTTGTAAGTCTATCATTATCCATTCTGGACATAGAACCAAACTACAGTGGTGCCTTGTAGTTCAAATTTAATTCATTCCAGAAGGTCATTCAAACTCCAAATCATCTGAATCAATTTTTCTCATTAGAAATAATAGAAAATGAATTAATCCATTCCCAGACTCTGAACAATACCCATTTTGATAAACTTAAAACAACAAATACACATAATTTAAGATAAAAATAACACAATTAAATGCCCTAATAATAAATTAAAACATGAAAACTGTAAATTAAATATGTAAATTTTGTATAATAAAATGAAAATTGCATTTAGTGGTCATATACTGTGGACTTCAGCATCTTAATATAGATATGTGATTTAATTATAACAGTTGTAAAATTTAATATATTATAGATAGAGTGAGATTTTATTCTTTGTTTAAAAGCTTACTTTAAACCCTTTACTTCATATTTTTTTTTTAATAAAATCAAGGTGTAATGTTTAGATAAAAAGCATATCAAGCATATTATACTTTATGAGTTTGAAAAAGGATTGGCAAATAGTAAAAAAAAAAGTTGTAATGTGTATGAGGAAGATGGTCCTAAACTTCCAACATACCAAATGTCATATAAAAAATTCCATTTGGAAAATTTTNCGCTAGTGGAAATGCTTGCTTCCAATCCCGAAAATAAACATTGAATAATGTCAATAAACTTGTCAGAGATTCCAAGCATTTTTAATTTAAATAACCACATTTTTTTTTTTTTTTCTCTTTTGCTGAGATAGTTTTATTGAAAAATTATCTCAGCAAAAAAAAAAAAAAAAGGTGCAGTGTGATAAGTTAATTATTTGTGAGCACATTCTGTTTAATACAGTGTATATAATCAAACACATCAAAAATAAAGCAAAAAAGTACTGAAAACATACAAGCATCATGCGAGAGCAAGAGATAACTTGGACACATAACAGATTCCATTTATGCTTCAAGCACATTTTTTCACTAAGCACAGTTTGAACTCTGAGGTGAATTTTTATCAAATTTTGTGTTCAAACTCCAAAGCATTTGAAGTTAGAGTTGTTCGAAGTAGGAGATACCACTGTATATTAAATTTGCTCTGTCAGAACTATTAATTAAATATGCTTTCTACTGTATATCCAACCTTTTCTTTACAGTTTTATTGGAAATTCTCTCCTTCTATTACGTGTCAAAATAAATAGATGGATATTTATTTTGTTAACTCTTACATCTGTAGCTTCTAGTCTTTTATCAATTTTGCTTTTTCATGCTCAACTTTCATTTAATTTTAATGGATGGAGGTAAAAAACTGTTTAAGAGACAGAGAATTTACTAATTTTCTTTTTGCTAAAAATAACTTTTAATGGCAAGGCTCTACAGTTGCAGCTTTACTAATTCTATTTGTTAGTTCTTCATCTTCCATAATATCTTTTTCATTAAAAATGTACCTATATAAGAAAATTTATCTATCTGTTCTGGATGATCTAATAAGCTTTAATTGATTATATTAATTTTAATATATGATTTTTTCCTGATACTGATTCTATGTTATTTTATTTAATGAAATATTTACTTTATTATTATTTATTTGAAAACTCCATACATAAAATTAATTTTTAGGAGGAGGGGTAACATTAATAACTTTGGTCAATAAATTATATTTACTCCATATAGACTACTGAGTTGTTGATGGAAAAAAATCCATGAATTCTATCTGCTGGATTTTTGCAAACAACGTTATTAGTATAAAAAAACATTATTAGGAAGTGTTGATAGATGCAAGTATTCAAAATCCTTACAGTCAAAAATGTAGTGATTTAAAGTCTCATTTCCTTTCTTACAAAACAGACACATTTCCGGTGAACGTAGAGCAGGTGTGGCCAAACTTTTATCCCTTAGGGGCTACTTTCTTGGTAAAATATAGTCTGATATAGTCTGCGGGCAACTATGAATATGGGCAAACAATTTTAGGATTTTTATATGTGCATGCGTTAACGTTCATATGCATTGTTCATCGAGATAAATACAAACAGTATGGGTACATTGCACAGACAGTCTATTATTGTAAGAATAAATTATCAAATTAAGATTTATAAACATTAATTTAAGTGAAAACAAAATGTTCAACTTTAGCTTCGCAGGCTGCTTTCAAAACCTTTGCAGTCGACCGCGGTCTACGTGTTGGTCATCCCTGACGTAGAGCAATACACAAGTGTTTCCATGTTAAATGAAACTTATTTAGACGAATCTGTATTATCATTTTTTTTAACAATAAATGGTAGCTGTTGATAATAAATGTAAAAGCACCGGTTGTTGTCTAATAAATGGTACTCAGTATGATGAAAACTTTGGATGAAAACTTCTGGGTATCATAAATGGTACTTAGCCTTAAGAATCCTGTCCCCTTCTTCTCTCAAGAAAAGATTATCAAACTCTTGTAAAATTGTATTTGCATCTGGAGAGGAATCTATCAAGGAGAGTGAGATACCTATTCTATTAAATAGATTCTCCAGTTTAGTAAACCAACAGAATTTGAGCGATCTTTTCAATGAAAACTTCAAAGTAGAATAAGCCTCACATTCCAAGGATGATGGGTCAGAGATTATGTTTCTCAGAAAATTTAAGGTTAATTTAACAAAGTGCTTCTGGGGAAACTTAAAGCCCAATTCAGATCTAATTGCATACGATGGGATTGACATCTCAAGACCAAAAAGACAACAAAAAATCATCAGTTCTATAGTCAATACCCTCAAAACAAAAAGGCCTCCAAAAGGGCAGACCATAAGACCAACTCAACGTAAAAAGAGAGGTGGCAAGTTTCTTACACAAACCCATATGACTGTTTTTAACCCTTCTCAAGATTTCTATTATAACATTTATTTTGGAAAATGCTTTGCCTTTAGCGTAGGAAATGTAATTTTGGAATGAGCCAGTAGCAGAGAGATAAATCCCCAAATATATAACTTCATTAACAATACCGACTCCTTTAGCATTAAGAAAAATTTATCAGCTTTTCTCAACCTTCCACTTTGTCTAAAAATTATTATTTTCTATTTGGATAAATTAATACACAAACCCAAATTAGAGGAATAATTATATAACCTGTCCAATTTCCTTTGTAGATAAATCGGGGTGGTGGATAACACCACTGTATCGTCAGCAAATTGAAGTAAATGGATTTCGTAGTCTCCCAGAGAAATGGAATCTTTACTTAAATCATCAAAAACTTGTGCCATGTCATTAACATAACAAATAAACAACATCGGACTTAAGGAATCACCCTGTGGTAAATCTTTTTCTAATGAAAAGGCATCTGTAAACCCGGCGCTAGTGGAAATGCTTGCTTCCAATCCCGAAAATAAACATTGAATAATGTCAATAAACTTGTCAGAGATTCCAAGCATTTTTAATTTAAATAACAAAATCTTCAAAACAACACTGTCAAAGGCTTTCTCATAGTCAATGAACGCTGCAAGTAAACGTTGTCTTTTCTTTGATAGTTGTCTACTAATAATGGAGTGAAGAATCAGAATATTACTTAAAGTGCTCTTCCGAGGTTGGAAAGCAAATTGCACAGGTTGAATCAAATTCCTCTCTCTTAGCCAAATACCCAATCTATTTGCCAAAATAGAGGTAAATATCTTTCAAACTAGAGGCAACAGCAATATTGGTTGAAAGTTAGCAGGCTTGTCTAATGGACCTTTTTTATGGATAACTTTTATCTTTACCTCTAACCACAATTTCGGAATTCTAGCAGTGTCATAAACCTGATTAAATAACTTGGCCAAGTAAGGAACCAAAGTATTCTTAGAGTAAACAATTAAAGACTGTGAAACATTATCCACCCTGGGAGCAGAACGAATTTGCATCTTTTGAAGTGCTGTATTCACCTCTGTATCAGAGATAGGAAGATCTAAAATAGGATCAACAACAAAAGAAGCCATCGGTAATGACAGAATCGGGGGTAAATTTGATGTATTTAAACTAAATAACTGTTGATAATAAACCAGTCATTCAAGGAAATCTCTTAGTCTAGTATGCTCCTGACTCGACGAAAACGACCTATCCGATATCAAAAGGTCTTAGAGTCTCTAATCCCAGCCAACTGTAAAGCATAATTACAAAAATATTTCCTCTTTTTGGCCCTAATAAGTGAATTATATTGTCGTTTTAAATTTAAAAAGGAAGCCAAATCAGCCTGACTATTATATCTGTGGAATTTCCCAAGGCAATGTTCCTCGCTCGCTTCTGAATGTAACATGACCTATCAAACCAAGGGGGACAAATCCTCCTGTAAGGTTCAACACCTTCAATTAACACATTTAGTCTTCTTGTGATAGAGCATACCTCGAATAAAATAATACCATAGAAATCATCAACAGACACAGAATCAAAGTTTATATTCTGGAGACTCTGCAATACAGTGTCACCAAACAATTCTACTTTAGAATCATTCCAAACATAACGAGTCTTGGTGGGACAAAGCCCATCAACAAAGAAAAATCTGTTTCTGGTCGACAACTGTAATTCCACTGGAAAATGGTCCGAAGATGAGAGAGACCCAAAATGAAGGGATTCAACCTTACGAACCAGATTCTGAGAAACGACAATAAAGTCTATAACTGAGCTACCCACTTTTGACAAAAAGTTAGCTCATCTGGGAAATCTCCCTTAATACGACCATTAAGAAGAATAAAATTGTGTTCAATCAACCAATGCAGAAACTGTCTCCTGGCCATGTCGACCTTCAAATCCTTTGATTGTCTGACATCAAAAATGTTGGGAGAGGCTACATTCAAATGTGAATCAATTCCTTCACCAATATGGACGTTAAAATCGCCCATTATCACAATTCCATGGTAGTACAAAGACCAAGAGTTCAAAATAATAGAAAAAAAGTCTAAACGTAAGCCCTGTTGTCTCTGCGAGCCAGCATATACCACCAGCACCAGGATATTTCTAAGATCGAGAACCGAGTAAAGTGATCAGCATCAAATCAGAGTAAGTTTCCAATAACTTGAAGTGCCCTCTAACTTCATCAAAAAAGAACAAAATACCACCATGGGGTCTACCCAGCCCCAATGGCTTTTTTGCTGAAATCATAAAATACCTCCAAGTTTACTGGAAGAAAGTTAGCAAGAAAATCACCATTCACTGAAACCATCCAGGTTTCAACAAGGGCTAAACAAATTAAACCTGGTCGTTTAATCATATAATCCAACAGAGAACACTTGGTGCTAAACCCACAACAATTCCAAAAAAAGCAACGATTCCGAATAACTAATCGAACCAAACTGGTCCGGGCACAATGAAGTTGAACATCTCTCCAAACCGACTCTCCTGCGGAGAGGAAAATTCAAAATAAATAAGAAACAGGTACCTCTATTAAACGATGGACCAAAATAGAATACGTGAATCTCTTGTCATCTACATATAATACGTCATCTCGCAAAAAAACACAACAACCAGCTTACAGGTATTCTTTTCAAAAAGTAACCAGGTTTTTACGGCGAACACGGGAATTAAACGACAGATCCGGTGCCAACCTAAATTTCACTAGTCTTTCCCTGCCCTCTTGTTGAGTTTTCGTCTGAAATTTTTGCAATAAATAATTTTGACATTTCCAGGACGACAACTGGATGCTATAGAATTCCTGAGCTTTACCTCTCAAATGGAAAACACCGACAATATTATGCCCCAACAGATCAGTCACATCCAATTCCTTAGAAAATAAGTTAACAATATAATCCCGCAAATCCAACTCGAGCAGAATACTATGATTAAACAACATTAAATTGCTTTTGTTTGAAGCATTAACTTGTCTATCGTAGGCAAAGGAATGTAACTCACCAATGTCATCCAAAGGTAACTGATGTTGCTTTTCCAGTTTATCTAGTCGCGAACGTACTTTAGAAAAGTCAGTTTCCAATTTCCTTACCGAGGACAAAATTGACTGGTTGGCCATTTCCAAATTGGCAAGCCTATCTTCAATACACTTCAATTGCATCATTACTGCATGTAAAGTCGTCTCCAAATATTGCTGTAAGGTTAACAATTCTTCTCTATCTGAGTCCAGAGGAGATTGCCTCTTAAAATAATGTTCTAACTTTGGATATTTTACACCTGGATCACTCGGTGAACGATGATGTTTAGTTCCCTTCCATTCTTCTTGGGTGTGCTTTAATGCTTCTGGAGGAGTATGTGGGAACATTTCCAAAAAAAATTGAACTAATGACACAGAATAAAACAATTGAGCAAAAAACATACCAACTTAGGTAGCAAATAAATAAAAGACTCAGTAATTTACAATAAAAAAAAGTGTTAACAAAATCTCCAACAAAAAGTAACCAGCAGCTGAGGTTACTCAACAGCGTCCCCCTTAATGAAATATTTTATACATATTTATAGATCTTGATTTCAATTAAATAATTAAAGCATATATTTTCATTTTTGATTAAATGGCTTTTTACTTTAATATTGTATTATTGTATAACTCGATATTTTATTCCTACTGATTGTTAAACTGTCTAGTTTAACACATCAAATAGTGAATTAATAATTTATATAATGTTTATTGAACATGTTTCTAAAATAATAGTTATACAAATAAATTTTGAAAATTTCTAATTATTAGTATTAAAAAATATTTTCAAATTTTTAATACCTGAAGTTCAAAGATGAGAAACATCACAATGAATACAATAAATAAACAAAATGCAATGACAGGAAGACTAACACAATATCTAAATAAATTCCTTTTCCAACAAGGATAAGATGGTTCCATTCTTCCAGTAACTGGACTTCTAATTAATGGACCCTACAATAATATAAATTTTTTTTTATAATAGATAAACATTTAAGTATAAAATAAATTATTTTAAATAGATGTATATCTGGAAAAGATATATGTTGAAGTATTTGGATATTATTATTAATAATTTGATTTTCCATTTGTAAAAACTGTAGAATTATATTTTATTTCAAACTATTTTTTCTACAAACAATAAAAATAATTAAATAATTACTGGTTATATTCAATAGATGACAAATTACTTATCTCAGTAATAAACTTGTTTAATTATAAATAAATTTAACTCAAAATTATTTGTAACTTGATAATTTAGTAGAATTTTACAATTATATTTGATAGTAAAAATTTTACATTAGAAATTAAATAATTAAAATAGCCTACAGAAAATAGTGGCCTTGGTTCTGCTAATAATTCATTTTGGCTATCCAAAGTACCCCATCTATAAGCTAATTCTGCACAATGACGTTTCCAAGATTCCAAATATAAAGTTGCCCACAATACATTAAACAAAGCAAATACAACAAAACATAAATCTTCTGTTGCCTAGAAATATATTATTCACATACATTAATAAAAGTGACAAATTATTAACAAAAAAAAATCATAACGAAACTTACTTGATCTTTACCATAATAACTAATCCACATAAAAAATCCAAAGAATGCAGGAATTGTTAATGCTTTGGTATAATGTCCCAACCAAGCAAAATAAATGGCAATTTTTACACCAAAATAATCACATATACTATCTAAATTAAAAAACATATGTAAAATATTTAATTTAAAAATTTAAGTAGGTAATAAATTTAAAAAAACCTTCATTAAATAGCATTATTTACCAAGAGGTTGAGCTTTGAATAATGCTTTTACCCAGCTATTTTTTAATTTATCCAAATCTTCGTTGTTATGAAGAGGTAAAATCTGAGATAAAATACCTTCTGCCATACAAGGAGGAACTAGAAATTTATTAGAAATTATAATAACTTTATTGTGTGTCAATATAATGAAATTAATATTTAAGAACATATATTTACTTATTGCTTGACCTTCAGCAAATTTTAAATGTAACAGTTGGTCCCCTTCTGCTGCTCGAAAACTATACAACATATTAAGAATGATGCTCTGTCTTTCTTGAGTTGTAAGAAAAACAGTTTGATTATCTACATTTTCAAAGTATTCTCTTTCATCCCATACAAATTCTTTTAAACCACCTCCATATTCTTCTTTTAATGATTTTCTTAATCTCAAATCTTCTGCTCCTTTTAACAAACTAAAAATAACAAACAACAATTTGCTTGAAATTTGCTTCTATATGAGCTATTGTATTTTTAAATATAACTAAAATATTTCATGACAGTCATTAAATTATTAGACTAAATGCTTATTCATTAAAATTTCTAAACTTGTATTTAGAAATTTTAATTTCAAAAATATACAAATGTTCTCAGTATATAAGTTCAGATTTCTATAATATAACTGGAGTAATTAATAATTATTGCTGGAAATTTAAATTCACAATATAAAATTTTGAATTTAATAATATATAGAGTGTTTCATGTCTCATTATAAATAGAAAAAATCCAGCAATGAGTTGCTTAACTTTCCTAGCAACAATTGGTGGCACCATCTATTATGACATTCTGTTTAAAAAACTTTTATATTTTTAAATATCATAAAATGGTAGATAGCTCTTAATTTTAAGGGTAGGAATGGATTTTATAGAAAAAATTGTAAATGATAATAACAATAAAATCATCATTAAGTCAGACCCTACTGGAGATACACAGGACCCCCTTTTATCTCCCCATTCCTCGACCTTTACTCAAAATTTAACAGCATCAATCCCCCTAATAAACAAACCTCCCTGAAAAATTTCTTAAAATTTTGATAAAAAGCACAGGTGTTATTAACTCAAACAGCTTCAAATTATTAACTCAAACTTAGCTTCAAACAGAGTGAACAAAATGTGTCCACCCACCAATGTCCACAGAAAAAATCTCTGAATTTTTTTTTTTTCATTTCTCAACGTTTCAAGGACCAGAGTCCAAAAATATAAAAATCTTGGGGGGGTCATTTTTTTTATTGATTGCCATACTTACCTTCTGTTATATATAAATGGTTGGGAGAGTAAAAATAGTAACTTCACTTGAAATTTAGTATAACAAGTCAATTACAAAAAAAAAATGAATATATTCAACAATACAACAAACTTTTCCTTGTTACAAGATATGTAATACTATAATTTGACAAAAAGATTGGGGAGCAAGATTTGTATTCTTTGATCATTCAAAAAATTTATGACATGAAAGAAAATACTGACACTTTTAGGATAAAGAGAAAGCATTTTTTAGTCAATCAAAACAATAAAGTGAGTTGAAATATTTAAAACATTTTTCTTATAAATAATTATATTAGATCTATACTTTGGTATGACGGTTTCTTCTAATCTACGTAATACCAACTCACATAAGTTGCCAGACAGCAGGCTGCCCATGGGTACCCCATGTTTTTGTAGATAGGTCCTGTTGTTAAACTGGAATATAGAGTTGTAACACATGAGATGCCCCAGTTCCACAATCTGTTTGCGATGTGTAGGTGTTCTAAATTTGGTCAATAGGAGATCCCTCAGAACGCAAAAGCACGGTTGCAATTTAACAGGTCTAAGTGGTGGCATCACCGGACACACCTAAGTTATTCGCCTTTGCGAAAATACAAAAGCCCACACCTTCTCTTGGACCTGTTTTGGACAAGGCCAGGTCTCCAACACAACTTCTTGAAAAAGCAGTCCATAACATCGCATCAGACCATATGAGAAATTACGATCTAAACATCAAGAGCACCAAAGAACTTATAGGAATATTAAGGCAAACTCAGGTAATGGATTTGGTCCACATAACAGTATGTGACTTTATATCATTATACCCTTCGATTAAATTGCAACCGTCCTTTTGCGCTCTGAGGGATCTCCTATTGACCAAATTTAGAACACCTATACATTGCAATCAGATCTTGGAACTGGTGCATCTCATGTGTTACAACTCTATATTCCAGTTTAACAACAGGACCTATCTACTGTACAAAAACGTGGGGTACCCATGGGCAGCCCGCTGTCTGGCAACTTATGTGAGTTAGTATTACGTAGATTAGAAGAAACCACCATACCAAAGTATAGATATAATATAATTATTTATAAGAGATATGTGGACAATGTCTTTATCCTGTGGAAAACTAAACCAAACATCAATGATTTTTTAAAACATTTATCTTTCTTGCTTTAAGTATATGAATTTTAATTCTTAATTATAAAAAGTTATATCACCTTTACACAAGAAAGAATATTAAAATTAGTCTAATTAAAAATTTCATATGATTTATTATTCCCATAAAATCCTCTCACTATTAATTTCATCTAAAGAATAATTGTCAAAACATTATTCAAAACAAAACTATTAAAAATAGAATAAATTCATGGATTTAATTAGAGCTTCTTTTCACAAACACTGAATACTCAAACATTGTAGCTCATCTTCAGGACATCCATTGTAAAAAATGACATTCAAAAAATTTTAAACATTGCAAAATATAAAATTAATGTATTCCATCCCATTTACCAATCATAGAATCAACCAACAGTTGGAATATAAGAGTGCTACAGTACATTCCTAGTTGCTTACGTGGCTGATAATAAAACCCATGTACATTTAGATCAAGCCATAATTCTTTATCACATCAGCAACAGAGCCCATCTCAAGTACTTGGAAAAATTAGAAATTTTTAAAGAAGCTAGAAAGGCCTCTGCCATCAACTCCAAGGAGGCCGACTCCTTCCCTTCAACATGATCTACTTTTGACATTGCCTTGTGAATACTTTTAATTTTTATCACCTACTGCCACTATGTGAATAGTATGCTTTAATTGAGTTCCATTTTTTAATTTGTTTTATTCCATCAAGTTGCATTCTACTATAAAATTAATGAGCAATTATTTATTGTGACATCATCACAATTCTGGGCAGCAATTTTTAATCATATTTTTAATTTATTTCATTTAATATATATGCTCTACACCAGTGTTTCTCAACCTGTAACGAACCATCGCCCCCTTCACTTCAAAATTCCGAGGCCGAGGACCAAGGCTAACGCCAAATTCGTACTGCATTGAATAGACTAGTGACTAGTATAATGTCATTTGTTTATTTATTGTACGATATAAAGAATAAAATATCTAATTATTCTTAATATAATGTTTTACTATATCGCCCAGAAAATTGTTTTACGCCCAGCAAAATATAAATTGTCACTAATCGCCCCCTCAACATGGAAAATCGCCCACATGGGGGCGATATCATCCCTGTTGATAAACACTGCTCTACACCTTAAATTAGTAGTGTCTTGCCCCTGTACATCATACTTTCCTGCAAGCAAGAGTCATGTCAGTCATCTATTTAACTCCATTCAGGAAAAATTTTTGAATTGAATTCAACTGGAAGTTCTTATAAAGTTAAAGCTTAGGGGCCTCCTGTTTCTAAGTTTTCCATATATGGTTTCAACTTTTATCTATCTAATTCCATTCGAGAGTAAGGAAGGACACACAGACAGACAGACGACAGTGGAAATTTATAGGTACAGTAGACCCTCCTATAACACGGGTTCATATAACACGGATTTGTATAACATGGCAAAAAAATTGCAATTGTGTTTGTATAACACACTAAAAGCGACTCGTATAACACAGTAAAACATCATCGCCGACTTGTGTTGTGACAGGATTGGTCGAATCTGGACCAATAACAGATATTGCACAAACTGTTGAGTTTAAACGAGCATTGGACCTACTAAAAAAGATTTATTATTGAATGGCCATAAAAATTATATTTTTATTAATGATGTCTCCAAAGTTCAGCAAATTTTTTGCAGAAAAATAACTTATCAGAAAACATGCGCCATTAAACTGTATAACTATGAGAAACTTCAACTTTTCAAAGTGGGTTAAAATATATCCCACCATGCATAAAAAGCTAAGAAAAAGGTGGGAAAGTTTTTACCCACCAAAGAGTTAAAGTACCTTTTATTTGCTGGATTTTGGTTTTTTGATATTTATTCTCAATGTGGAGTACAGTACATCAGTTTATCAGATTGTTACTTAATAAATTTTATTTGTATTGTGAGAAGCTAGAGACAAAACAAGAGCCTTTCTTTAAAGTTACGAAATTTCTCTAAACTTTATTTAATAATTGATGCAATTAAGTTGTTTTTATGTGTGAAAAATGGCACAGATCACTCTACCCATTCACGAGAAACTGATACAAAGGGAAATAAAGCTTCTGTCCAGTTTAGCTATTTCCTGTGGTGAGATCTTATCTTGCTAGCTGATGATACATCTGCAAGTACGTCTCACCCATTGATGAGACAGCTGCCCGTGAGACACAGCTTTTGCATCTTGTCACATAGGAAAGATTTACCTCCCAATTGGAGAGGAGTCGGAAATAAACAGGGCAGAAATCCCAGTTTCAGGATAGACTCTCCTCGAAGCTTGTAGGCCAAGCTTCAGTCTGTTAACTCTCTTGTCTGCCAGCTCTCATCTATCTCTCCTCTGAAAGCAACCTCTTAGGAAGATCCTCAATCGTTGTCCTGACATTTGAATAGACTGGATTCGAAGACCAGAGGTATTATACTTAGAGTGATGTAAACTCTCTCTCTCGGTATAGGTATAGGCAGTTAGATACTCAATGTATTTTACCCGTTTCGAGATATTGTCTGATAGATATGTTGAGCCAGTCTATATATAGTCTAATTGTATTAGTTCACATGTAATCATTGATTCATTTATAATATTAAATTTTTGTGGCGTAGTAAACACTAGTATTGTGTTTTATTCCAAAGACACATGCCAAATTTTCCATCAAATTCCTTTATTAGTTGAGTCAAAAAAAAATATATATATAGGAAAAAAAAATATATTAAATTTGTTTCAAAATATCACTTATGGTAGCTGCTATTTCGTTGTGAATTTGTCTCTTTAATCCGATCAAATCAGTTCGGTAGACTATCATATACAGCTTTCAGGCTAGGTGCTTCTTATATTGGTTTGACAAATGCATTTCAGACTTATTTGTATTTTAAGTCCCTCTTCAGTTCAAACTAAGGTTCTGTTTTTTAAAAACCTCTGGTGTATAACTGGTAACGTTGGAAGGTTTAAAATACAGCCATTTAAAAACCCTTCAAATACATTTTCACATTATAATGTCTAGTGACATAAAATAATACGTGAAATATATTGTAAAAGTGTGGATGTATTCTCTTGAAAATGTGTTAATAGTAATATACCACATGTTATTAACCTGTAAAACGATCATTGTTGCTGCAACATTTTATTGTAGAACATACACATTCTTTAAAAGTTAAAAGTTGTAATTATACAAGTTTTTATGAACAATTGTTAAAAGTTCATCGTATTAATGTGAAAATGTATTTGAAGGCTTTTTAAATTGCTGTATTTTAATTTAAACCTTCCAACGTTACCAGTTATACACCGGAGGTTTTTAAAAAACAGAACCTTAGTTTGAACTGAAGAGGGACTTAAAATACAAATAAGTCCGAAATGCATTTGTCAAACCAATAAAAGAAGTACCTAGCCTGAAAGCTGTATATGCTCATTATATCACTGTGTGTTCGAAGATCACTGTGTGATCTTCGAACACACAGTGATATGCTCATATAAACGCGTGCCATCTATCGTAGGATAAATGTACTATGCCAGAAACCTTTGCGGGAGTGTATTAAAAAACTTTCCAAAGTTTCATGGCAATTGGATAAACAGTGTGATAATGCATGAAGGACATACAGAAAGACACACAGACAGACATTCATTCATTTTTATATATATAGATTACTTAAAGCATATTTTGTTTGTAATAAATGCGATATAATTTTCTTGCTTATAAAAGTTTTTCTTCTTAATTGATTCTAAACACTATAATTTCTTAACTCAATAAAATGTTAACTAAAAAAAAATAGAAAAATTATCACATTACTTTTCATAAGTTGCAGTCAGATAGAAACCAAATACTCCAGTGTATTGATGCTGTCTAACATCAATAATCAATTCTGGAACACGAGCTTTTAAATGAGCTAGAAACCATAACAGAGTTTCTTCAGTAGTCATTTGTGGAAAAGTCATAACAACATCACAATTACTGTTTCGAACAGCCATTTTCCAAAATTGTCCCGAAGAAAAAAGATGTCTTGAAACTGTCAAACGTCTTCCTAAAAAATGACTAGCTGTATAAAAATAATAATAAAATTAATCTTTATGTATAATTATTAAAAATTTTTTTAAAATTGTATATTATTACTATAAAAAAACTTTCATGAATAAAATAAATTTTAATACAACAAAATTTCATTTCATTATAATAACTTTGAATCTTACTTTGCTATAATGAAATTTTGTTCAAATATCAGAACTCTATTGATTAAATAATTCTGAAATCAAATAATAACTTTATTAAACACTAAGTGCTTCAGCTCCCTGGTTACTTATTGTAGCCCATCTCTTCACTCTCTTTGCCCACTTGTTACAAATATAGACTATTCATAACAAAATTTCAGTTATATGCATACCTTTCTCTGTCTAATTCCAAGTGAGGGTTCTATAATGTAAACTAAGTTCAGATACATTTTCAAATGCACCCACATACTCAAATTAATTGGAAAAACAGTTTTCATTCAAATTGCATAAAAAAGAACTTTTACAGATTTCACCAAAAGCAAATAGAACAAAAAAAAAAAAAAAAAAAACAATTCTTTTTTTGAATTGGTTGAATACCACAATGTTTTTGATCAGTTACAAAAAGTAGCAAATTATAAACATCACTTATAAATATATTTTTCACTACCATTCACTATTTAAAAAAGCATCTAACAATAATGATCTACTATGCAACAAATCTGACTATCAAAAATTTACAAATCGTGCTTTGCTGCATAACATATCATTATTGCTGGGCATGTTTTCATGATCACATATCCACGTATTTCTCATGTGATTTTTTTTTTATAATTTACAAGTTTACAGCTTAAAATTTAATTTACAACAACTAAGTCATAAAATGTTCAGTGAAATTTGATTTTATGAGTTTATTTTATACATAGGTATACATTTTATCAATATTATTAAAGTATACACACACACACACACAAACACACAAATCTTTTTATTTCGTAACATAGGTTACATTGCAGATTCCGCAGTAGCATAATCTGCTTACAATTACAGTAGAGCGTCGATTTTCCGAAAGTCAATCATCCGAAAGAATTTCAGTCAGCAAATTTAAATTTTCGCCAGTGCTGTGGCGCTTCAATCTTTGGCTATGTCTTGGGCTACTCAAATATTTTACGTTTTTGATACTAAATTAACATCTGAAGTATAATTTTTTATTATTTTTATATTTTTCAATATATTTATTTTGTTTGTAAAAAATAAAAAAATAATTTTTAACGATACAATAGTCTTTGTTAGACTTAACATCGACGAAAATTCAACGCGAAGTGACACGCAACGGATAAAAATTTTAACATCGGATATGTTAAACTATTTTTTCGTACATAAATCCGAAACATCAGTTATACGAACAACCCCAGTCCCCGATTGATTCGGAAAATCGACGCTCTACTGTATTTGTAAAAAATATATAAATGCAGTAATAACAATACAATAGTCGGACAGTTAGTCGTATTTTACAATTATTGACATACGTATACATATACAAATATACTGTTTATGTTGAGCAAAGAAAAATAAAATAAAATAAAGTAGACAACTGACAATTATAATGGTTTACATAGTATTACGAGGGCAAACAAAAAAAAAAAAAAGTTAATAGAAACAAAAATAATGCTGGTGGTTATGTACTGAAGAGTTGCAGCGCTGTGGTCTGTTGAGGTCTGTTAGGTAGATCCCTGCTGAGCATGTCAAGAGTTGATTCCAACGTTGACAGCAGAGCACCTGATAAGTGTCCGGTACAGGCAAAAGAACCTCGACAGGGATCAGCACAACACACTCAGGCAACATTTAGTTGACTGCGGATACTTCCAAGCAGGCATTATAACAGTCAAAGTATTGTCACATACTATAAAACAGATTGATAAGATGTCCTTGTATAAGTGTCAATTGCAACACATCATATTATACCAGTTATTGCAGTAATAAATTAAAGATTTTTGCACATAATTAAGTTATTATATTATTAAGTTTATATGAAAAGGCAGAGCAATCTCTCTCTGTATGCACAGAGAGATTGCTCTATTAAAGTATATACAGTAATACCTCGACTTACGCTACCACGACTTCTGCGAACCCGGAGTTATGCGATTTTAAAATCTCATCGATTTGTCTTTTATTTGTGCGCCACGCAATCCTTGATTATTCACTCCCCCCACACTATTGTTCAGCTTACATGTTCGGATGTGTCGCGCGGAATCCACACATAGCTACAATTTATTCTGTGTTATTTATTTCTGTGTTTCTTATATCTACAGAGACTTGAGAGACCCTACTGTCATCCAAACGAAGTAGAACTAATTCTTCTGCATCAAACAAGAAAAGAAAAACTTTATCTTTGGAATGTAAAGTTAACATTGGGTATGTTTGTAAATTCGAACAAGTTAAACAAGAATGACGTCATCGTTATTCCTATTTCGTTAGACTTTTCGAATGATTCGTTACTAACGCGTTTAACTCGTTTGACTTTACGAACGTACCAATTATTAAAGACTTCGATACAAAAATGAAAATTTGTGAATTGGCAAAGAAGTTTGATCTACCGGAATTGTCGGTCAGAACAATTATAAAAGGCAAAGAAAAAATTCTCGAAGCTGTGAAAAATGCTCACTCTTTAAATTCAAGCATCATTCGTAAACGTCACAGTATTATTGCTGAGATGGAAACAATGTTAAAATTATGGCGTATTAATCAAGTAAATGTGAAAAATTGTAAAATAATATAGGCCTAATTTGTTATACATGTGTATTATCTAAGATTTTATTAAACATTTTTTTCTAAATTATTTTTTTCTTTAGTCTACGGCCCAAAAATTATTTGTATGTATTTATATGGGATAACGACTTACGCAGTTACCACTCGGTCCCACCTATCATGTAAGTTTGGGGTATTACTGTACCCAATTTTTGATTTGTTTACATAAATTATGTGAGGACATACATTTTTTTCAATGGAAATTTTACATTTAAATTTTTACAATATATTGTAATTTGGTATTACAAAAATCTTTTATATTTTATGAATATATAAAATCTAAACTGTTACAGCTGAAGTGAGCAATAAATTTTACAAATCATTTAATAATAAAAGAAAATTAAGACCATTTTATATTTAAGAATACAAAATTGTATTAATTTCATTTCATATTTTTTTTTACTAATGAGCATTTTAGCAAAAATACCATAGTTCTTTCCAAGTCAATGAGTATTGTATTTTCTATAATAATCACCCATCTAACTTGTATTCTTTACTTAACTGTACCAGTTAATCTAAATATTAGTATATTAGTGGTGTTTGATATTATTGAATAATTGATTATCAATGCAATATTTTCTGATATTGAAGTAAGAAAAATGAATACTGGCTAATATCATTATTGATGCTCAATATTACTGATATTGGAAATTATTGAAATTTATGAAATTAATTAAAGCAATTCAAGTATGTCCTTCAGATTATTTTTAATAAACAGATTACATTTGCCACAATATTCTGTTTTAACTAGTTTTACATCTGTTTTAGAATCATGCTTTCCTTTTTACAACAATATTTTTTACTCCAATAATTGTCCACAAAAAAAATTGCCTAGTAGGTGATTATTAAAGAAATACAGTGGAACCTCGGTTAATGAACTTAATCCATTCTGCAACTCTGTTCATTAACAGAATTGTTTGTTAACCAAAGTAATTTTTCCCATAGAAATTAATGCAAATACAATTTATCCATTCTAGCCTCTGAAATTTTTGTAATTTTATTTGTAAAATGAGTTATCTTTGATAAAAATGTAGGAAAACATAGTATCTATCATTACAGAAACAAACATGTAAACTTTATTTAATAAAATAGCACTGTGTATACCTTCATTTATTGTAATTGGTGGCAGAGGAGTAGAGATATATGGAGCTTAATGCTTAGAAGGGGAAGCCCCTCCAAAAAAATAATGGGTAGCACTTCATCGGGAGATTCTTCCTTTGGTAAGGGAACAAGAAATTGATCTAAAGTTGATTGTCTTACTCTTTTAATCAAAATTTTTCTCAAATGCGATAGCACATTGTTGTTTTCTATTGCCACTATCACTTTTCTCTTTCTTGGATGCCGTATTGATTAAATATATAAATCACAAAACTGAAAAAAAAAGTTTAGCACAAACACTCGGAAAAGCAATGCTTAACTCATGCATGCCTAACAGCAACTAAAATTTGACACAAAAACCTGTTATGTTCGTTAACTGAGGTTCCACTCAAATTTTTGCAAAATAAAAGTTCATTAACCAATTTGGTCGTTAACCGAGCTTCCACTGTACAATAATTTTAATTAAAGTATAATGAATGTAAACTGTTTTTCTCTTTACTTTATAAAAAGATTTTGATATTTCTTGCTTTTCTATGTTTTGTTAGATATTAAAACTTTTTTTTTTGAAAAAAATTTTTACAGAAGGAAACTAAACATTAAAATTAAATTTTTCAATTAATAATATGAGAAAAGAATTCTTTCCCCATACCTTTTTTATATAAATACATATGTTTATGTATGTACTACTTTACTACATTTTATACCACTGTGCCAAGTTTTGTACAGTTTTGTTCAAAAGAAATAATAAATTACACAACAATTCTTTAACTGTTTCAAAAAAGCACTTTGTTGTTATAGAATCTGATATAACTCATTATAAAGTTTATGGTTCAAAAATATTAAAATTTCAGTATTAATGATATTCACATGCATATTTTATATTTTTTTTGTTAGACACAATTATAGACTTAACTATTTTTGCTTGAAAATTCTTTACATCTAACACTCTACTTAAGTTCTGTTATTTAATATATTAAGTGATCCATGTATTGATTTAAGATAACATTATTTTTTTGTTTTGGGATTGATCCAAGGATAGACAGAATATTTGTTGTAACTGATTTTGTATATTTCCCAAAATAAATTGATATAATTCTTGCTTTGTTTTTTTATTCTGTAATGCAAACAGTAATAGATTAAATGTCAC